TGCACATGACGCATCTGGCCCACGGACTGCCAGTTTGACACCCCTGCTTGAGAGCATCTAGAATTCTTGAACATCTAGAATTTATTTTGTTCAGGTACATGAATAACTGCAATTATTTATTTGGACACCTACAGTGAAGTCACTTATACATTATCCAGTGAATAATTAAAATATGATATTCTTAACATAATTTAGCTTCCACAAGCAGTATCAAATTCTGAAAGATAGCAATAAGCTCCATTTAACATCTCCTTTTAACATCCAAAACAAATCAGTCAAATTTGCCAACTCCTCTTCTTTGAACTTCTGATACACCAGCTAAGACTGTTACATACACACAATGGCCATAACCTTACACTAGTGTAAATCTATTCTTCTCCAAAGTCTGAGCAGAACTTGTCAGTTAAAGAGGAACCACTGTTTTATTGATAGCAGGTCAGATGTCCTTCCTCATCGTATCTGCCATCATTACTGTATTTGAAGAAACTGAAGTTGTGTAACATTTTCTATCCTTCTAGTAATGCAGAATATATTCTTTAAAGTAACTTCCAGTTCTGTTTTTGATAGTGCTTTTCTCTACTTCTTTCTGAATTTGGATTTCCGTGCCCCATTATTACAAACTATGGAGATAGCAAGAAAGATACCGGAATGCTCACAAATACTAATTTAAATCTATTCCACAAAATTAATTCCAAGCATTAAGTAGGTAAAATTATATCTGAGGATAATACAAATTCTCCTCAGAATTGGGAAGCCAATCTTAACTTCCCACTGAAAATCAGTGCACAGAGACAGATACTCAACCAGCTTGGAATGTGGAATTGCCACCCAGCAGGTATATACAGAGAAAATACAAAATAATCTGGCTAATTGAAATAAATGGATACAATTAAAGCCTACAAGGTTTTAAATTTATACTATGTAGGACTATGAGCAGGTGGGGCGCCAACAGTAGGATAACGAATGCCAAATTTCAATCCTGAAAATTTCTATTGCATTTAAAGGGTTACTCTCACTTAGAGAATATATACTGAGGTGTGTCCATGAAGTCTGACCACAGGATGTGATTTTTTAAAAAGTCCAAATGGTGGCTGCAATGGTGCTATTGAAGCTCGTTTGTAAATGGGTGTCATATGCAACACAGAAGACCTCTGATTATTGTCATCGTGGTCACCATTTGGACTTTTGGACACTCCAGGCAGTGATGGGATTCAAAAATTTTTACTACCGGTTCTGTGGGCGTGGCTTGGTGGGCATGGCAGGGGAAGGATACTGTAAAATCTCCAATCAAAGGTGGTATTTGCCAGTTCTCTCTGAACTACTCAAAATTTCTGCTACTGGTTTTCCAGAACTGGTCAGAACCTGAATACCACCTCTGACTCTACGGCTATGATGGCAAACCTATGGTACGCTTGCCAGAGGTGAAACGCAGAGTCCTCTCTGTGGGCACGCGAGCCATCGCCCCAGCTCAGCTGTGCTGCGCATGTGCATGTACCTCCCACTGGCCAGCTGCTCTTTGAGTCTCTGCTGCACATGCGTTTGAGGTGGGACGCATATGGGGGGACGCATGTGTGGAGTGGGGCACATGCACGGGGGACATGCACGCATTGCATTTTGGGGATACTCACATGTGCATGTGCTTTGGGCACTCGGTGCCGAAAAGGTTAGCTATCACTGCTCTAGGGTGACTGTGATTTCTTTCTGCTTCCTAATCTGTTGTGACTTCCAATTTATCTAAAAAGCTACTGTAAAATTGTCTTAAGTTTACATTCTGTTTATTTATTCCTCATAACACGCATATTCACACTAGCAAAAGACAGCCCTCACACCACCTTCTCCATAAGTGGAAGCAAAGCTGAGGTGTTTCATGTAGGATTGTTTCGAACAAGCATGGAAACAGCAGAACAAAATTAGAAAAGGCTTTGTGGAAAACCCGTTGGAAATCCCTGATTCAATGGATTGCTTCAAACCAGGTCCCCATTTTGATCCACGAATCTGCTTTGATGTGGTAGTTTTAGCCAAGGTCCATTGAATTAAAGGCATTCCTTAAAATTTTTACACACGATTTCTGATATAACCTTTAGTTATCCGGACTTAGCACTATATATAGATACTGCACTAAAAGAATCAAGGCTGGCTCCAAAGGGGAGAAAAGCTGTGTTCGTCTGAGATTTTCATTATAGTAAAGCTGAATAATTTTATCAGGAGAAAGAATGATGAGTAGTGCATTTAAGCCCCATCTCATGATCACAAGAAATTTTATTTAATCACAATTCCAGCTCCTGAGATTTCTACCAGCTACTTCACAAAGGGTTTTATATCAATTTTATCAGCCATATAATACTGTAAATTGGGTTGTTTTTAAATGGAAATTGGTCATTGAAAAAGGGTCAAAATTCTTCATTCCGTAGAACATTCTGTACTTTCTTCTTTGGGGCACTGTGTGGGCTATATAAATTGCCTGAATTTTTCCATTTGTTTCATGTGTTTTTTAAGAGCAACATACATCTTACAAACTGTTTTATTACACCACAGATCTTTCTAAAGAAGAACCTGCTGCTTTACAGGTATTAAATATTATTTTTAATTGGGAAGCTGGGCTTAGTACAAAATTCCCCTTTTGAACAAAAGGATTAATGAGATTTCTTCATTAGCAGATGCTAATTTTAAGAAAGGAAATGTTATTCCTCTCAGTCTAGAAAAAATGACTACATAATTTTTTTAAAGAAGCAAGCTAGATAATTTTAGGGTACCCAGTGCAGAAAAGAAAGGGAGTGACATTATCGATATGAAATAATATCTGAGACATACCTGTCATGCAACAGATAGCTTCTTATAAAGATCCAGAAGATAGCATCAGACAAGTGAGGGTAAATTTTAACCAACCTCCTACAGATCACAGATCTAGCTTACTGCATTTCATGAGTTTGTGGTTCAATTCTACACTCCTTTTCAGGGATGGACTGCTACAGGTTCGGCCTGGTTCGGGCGAATCCGTAGCTAAACCTGTAGTGAATTTTATGGCCAGTTTGGTGAACTGGCAAATCTCACCCTGGCTGGCTCTGTCCTTCCCAACCTGCCCCTCCCAGGAGTCCCCACGCAGCCTGTTTTGGATCCCAGGTAAGTACAGGGCTCACACAGAACTCAGGAAGGGTGAAAAATGGGCTTCCTGGAGCCTCCGGAAGGCGGAAACGAGCCTGTTTTTGGCCTCCAGAGGGCCTCCGGAGCCTGGGGAGGCCGTTTTCATCCTCCCGGAAGCTTGAGGAAAGCCTCCAGAGCCCGGGAAGGGTGAAAACGCCCCCCCCCATGGTGCAGGAGGCCAACTAGGCCATGCTCACCATGGCCACATCCACCCAGTAACCAGGCAGAGAACCAGTTGCTAAAATTTTTGACGCCCTCCCCTGCTCCTTTTCCTTCTGAATTTATGAACATTTGGGTCTTTTTAGACCACTCTCAGCAATTGAGAGAGGCCTTTCAGAGTGTATTAGCATGAAGAAACAGCTCTCTTCAAATTATTAAAGCAGCCGTATCCTTTTTCAAGAGTTGGACAACTGTTTTTTATTTATATATTTGTAAAATCGATTAGCTGCCCATCTAACCTCACAATAACTATGGGCAGCTTACAATAGTAAGTAATTTAATTAAATTTAGAATGTAGTCCTGCTTATCATCATGTGCAGATTCAGACAACTCTTTCACTGGGTCTCTCTGAAACAAACCAGCAGTGCATGGATGGATATACAGAGCTAGCCAAGGAGAACATTTGATTTGCAAAGGATATGGCTGGAATGGACATATTTTGTTTCAATGAATGTGCTTTGCAAAGTCCCTCTATCAAAGGCTTTGCACAACCTTGGAACCTATCAACAGCCAAAATTATTAGCCAAAATATGTAAATAGTATCAGCATCTTTTTCACGATCACTAATGACACCTACAAAGTAGAACAGCTCTTGAGGATAGTGGGAGAGAATGTAAATCTCTGACACAAATTTCTCCACTCAGTTATAGCAATGGAAGGATATAGTAGCTTTATCATGCCTTGGCCTCCATGGCTAATAACCATTCTAGGCATGGAGCTGCATCAAGGAATGATTGCAGGCAAAAAAGTTTAACCCGTCTCCCTTCCATTGAATTTAGCAAAAGAAGACATTGTAATATCGGAAGATGAATTTCACACATAGCAAATATCTCATCTACTTTTGCACAGGGGCATGATTAATAGCATCCCATGCTTATGCCATAATAAATCTCTTTTTGTTTACCATAATATGGCTTAATGTGCCATTGACTTCCATATAACTGAAATTCCACATAAGCTGAATTCCTCATAAGCTCTTGGAATCAAACATTTTTAAAAGTGAGAAATGCAATCTGATTCAAGGAAGTATTGTATGTAGTGTTGCATCTCATTACTCAGTGCATCACTTTCAGATTATATGTTAACTTTGGTCTAAATCAACAACTCTAGAGTTTCTACCTGGAATTGACTACGGTTTAAATATGGGACTTTTAGTGAAATTGGCATTACATTCTACCTGTGAACTTTAGTTAATTTCTTTTTCCTGCAGTGAACTAATGAAATGGCAATCAATTAAGCACTCCTTTTAATTTATTAGTTAGTGATTTTAACTACTTTTAATTGATTAGCCTTTCTGTTTGGGGACAGAACAATTTCTCTGAAGCATACTTTGAGATGAAACACAAATTACATAACAGGACATTATCACTTCAAATGAAACACATTTGTGTATGTAAAAGAAGAAAAAACAACTTTTGAAAAATGGACCTGCCATTTGCAATTAACAGTGTCTATCTGTGTCTTTGCTTGATTCACCAGGGGCACCTTTTCAGTTAATTAAAAGTGTTTAAATCCATTACTTTACCAATCAATATATAACAGTCTACAGTGTGGCAAATGCCATTGCTGTTGTATAACCATTAAAATACAAACAGGAAATGTCTTTGCTGATCAACACAATCAAGGTTTTAAATACTTACCATGGAGAACCATATATCCTGAAGCCTCTAACTGTTACTTCTGAATCCTGCAGGTATATGCAGTTCGTTAAGAGAGACTGCACATTTTCATAACTTTCTGGCTTCAGTTTGGATACTGAGGGAAAATAATAAAAGTCCTGCTTGATTAAGTCTGCCATGAATTCTTGATCGAATGTCAGCTCATGATTACCTGCTATCACAATCTTGTATTCATATGGTAGGCTACCTAAAAAGGAGAAAAATAGGCATTTGTTCAGTGTTACGTTTGTGGGATTTTTTTTATTCTAAATGACATAAAACCATGCCAATCTTTCCAATGTGTTGTGTGATAGGATAACAATTTCCAGAATAGGCACTTTATCCAGCCAGGAAATTCTAGGAACTGTAACTTAAATTCATTTATTCTAAATTGTGCTGAAGATGTATCTGGACACTCCAAAGAAAGACTAAAGATGAAATATACTATACTTAGAATTAGGACTGCACTGGTGAAGTTAGGCAACTGTTTTGCATTTATATCTTGCTTTTCCTCTCGAAAACTCACAGTGAAGTATGTTCGAATCCCCCTTTAGTTTATCCCTGAGCATGAGTGGCCCAAAATAGCTTGAGGGCTGAGTCAGAAAAAAACCCCGGTCTTCCTCATCTAAACTTCACCACTACTTTAATTTGAGCTCTCATACAATGAGCCAAGCTAAAGTCATTGGGATAACTGTATATTTTTAAATACATGATCAACCTACTTCACCTGCATATTGGCACCACTCTTATTCAAATTCTGTATCAACATGATGGGCCATCCCCTTCGACATAAACATTCACTTTCCAACACTTGTTGGAAGTCACATCTCTATTCTACTCAATGCAGAGGTTGGAGCAATACTTTCAAGAAATTATTGGAAGTATTACTTTCAAGTATTACTGTCAGGGGTGGGATTCTACCAGTTCGCACCTATTCGCTAGAACCAGTTGTTAACATTCTAAGCAGTTCGGAGAACCGGTTGTTAGAAGAAATTACTGGTCTAATCCTGTAAGGAAGGCAGGAAGGAAACATTCTGGTGTTGCTTACAGAAACTGCCTCTCCGTTAACCCTTATTACATTCTTGGCAGGACTAGACTTCCTGTCTCAGGAACTTCTCTGGAGTTTTTTCCCCCTCCTTTGCTGGTACTTTGCTTGTGTGGAGTGGCCATTCAAAGTTACAATGGCACTGAAAAAAGTGACTTATGACCATTTTTCACACTTACAACTGTTGCAGCATCCCCACAGTCACGAGAGGCCAGGTGAGGAGATGCGTGCCTCAATGTGAATGATATTGAGTTAGCCACGCCCACCAACTAAGCCACGCCCACAGAACTGGCTGTTAAAAAATTTGAATCCCCACCCCTGATTACTGGTCTTAAAAGAACACTGGGAGAACTAAGATTGTACTGCAAAGAAGACCAGCTAGAATTCCAGACAACTAAAACCATGGCATTTGCTAAAAGGCCCAAGAGCTACCCCCTATAGCATAAATGGCCCCATGAGTGAGCAGAGCTTCTGTTTCAAATTTATGGGAATAGTCCTTCATTCTGCCAGCAGTAGGTAACTCCATGGGGACAACACTGCTGAAAATGCAAAGAGGAGAACTTGTCTATCATCTTTAAATTCTTCAAAACAACGTACGAGCACTACAAACATGCAGCATTCAAATTATTTGAAGACAAGCCAATAGTACAATTTCCTTATGATGTTCATCTGGGCCTCTTCCCCAATTTTGCACAATTAGAACTTGTTCAATCCAAATTTTAAGATTGGCCCTTCAAGCCTCAAAATATAATGATACCCTGAGCACTGGACACAGGCTTCATGAAAGTGGAAGCTAGAGTGTGGATGAGCTGCAGTGGCGCAGTGGTTAGAATGCAGTACTGCAGACTACTTCTGCTGACTGCCGGCTGACTGCAATTTGGCAATTCGAATCTCACCAGGCTCAAGATTTAGTCAGCCTTCCATCCTTCCGAGGTGAGTAAAATTATGTCCCAGATTGTTGGGGGCAATATGTTGACTCTATAAACCGCTTAGAGAGGTCTATAAAGCACCATGAAGTGGTATATAAGTCTAAATGCTATTGCTATCATACTCAACTACGAGTTCAAACTATCTCTTTTCCCCCCTAGCATCTCCCAACTATGATGAAAGATTTTCAGTCTACATACAAGAAGGCCCTGGCAACTAAAACCTAACCTTGGACTTCTCTCCAAGTCTCCTACTTGGCATGGGATATGATCAGGTCAAAGCACTTATTAAAAATGTGTAGCAGACACAGAGTGCCAACTGGATCTAGCCAGATTCCCAACCTTTACTGCCAGAGAATCAAACAGGTATTCTCATAGATACCCTAGGGTGAACTTAACTAATTTTGAAGTAGCCTAACCATCAGCAGACCTTAACTCTGACACACTCTCATGCCCTTCCCTCATCTGAGAGCCAATGCCTTTGTGATTTTAGAAATAACAGAACAGGTACTCCTCTGGTGACTGTATTGCACAGACTTTTGAAATAGCCTCATCTCACAATTACTGCATAAATACCCAGGGCGCGCAGGATAATTATATCATAAATTTAAATATTTAAATGAATTAAAGATGTTTTGCAGCAAATGATTTCTTTGCTGCAAATCATCATGTTACTTTTCAGATACATTGAAATTACTTGAGTACTTTTTACATTTCAACATCCCACAGTTTTTCACATATCTATCTAGGATACAGGTTTTGAGCTGCTATTCTTAAATCTCTGACAGATGTAAAGAAGTGTGCTAAATTTATGTTCACGACTTTATTCCCATTGTTATTTCTAAATATTTTTCAGCCATCTAAGATAACCATCCATCAAACATAACTACTTCAAGCTAGCTGGTGTTATTGCTTCAGTGACTGTGTTTATGTGGGTTATTTGAATAAATTCCTCTAAACATACAGCTACTGTACATTTATTATAGTGGCAGCTGCAATCAATATGGTGGTTACAGATATGTCAGGCTTATCAATTAACAACTTCAGTTCTGATGTCTTTGCAAAATAGTTTTCTTAGTCTTTCCCACAGCCATTAATAACTTGGAAAGTTTCCTTTCAAAATGGAGAATCATGGGATTAATTCCCCTTACCAAAATATTTAGCCACAATTTTTCAAATAGGCAAATTTGTATGGTTAATAGTCTTTCTGCAGTTTATTTTGTCATGATTTTTATTTTTATAAATGTTGTACATTATGTTTTGTTTTTTCTTCCTTTGCATATGTTTTACACATAACACTTTTCTCATTCTGGCTGAATAGAAAAGGTGAGTATGAATAAAATATTATTACTTCATTCCTAATTATAATTTGAGTTAAGACAAGACAGTTTCCTGTACTTCTGAGGGCTCATCTACAGATGCTGCTTGGTCAGGGTTGAGTACAGTCCAGTAATGGTTTCTAGAAGACAATAATACACAACATTGTCTTCAAATAATTCCTGTCCTTGAAGAAGACATTCTGTTCTATGTCAAAAAATACTTCTGCAGGCATAAGCAGCATGAAAGGATTCTTTCCCACAGTGGATTGACTTTTTTTTTACAAGTTTGGAGGAAAAGTGTCCCCCATCCCTTTCCTTTTATTTACATGAAATAGACAAGAGTCCATCCAATTTCTCTTTCTATTCCAACTAATAGGAAGGTTAAATGGTGGTATCTTCTTTCATATTTAAATGTCTACAAGTTGAGTGGTGCAATGGCCTAGAGGTGAAGCTCTCGCCTCACAAACAAACAAACAAACAAAACTCCTCATTGGCAACAGGAAGGGCATCCGGCCATTAAAACACTCTGCTAGTTCCATTCAGTTGCCCAGACTCCACCCCGCAAGGGATTATGGGATCATTAAATGTCTACAAGTTCCAAACTGAAAGTGTCCAACACACTGAATGGGAGGAAGAGAGTCACTCAAAAATCTATCAATGAAAAGCACCATCTCAAAGACCTAACTCATGGAAATGAAAGCTATTGGTGCTTGCTTTCCTAGCATAGGTGGGAAGGGCAAAGAAGCAGATGAATTCACCAATCAGGGCCATGGCAATCACCATCAGCATGGAATAATTGGTCGATGCTGAGGAATGGATTGAAATCTAGACCACAATTTATTTCCATCTGGTGCCAGTTGAGGCAAACAGTTTAAAACTGCTGTAAATAGCAACCCTATTGGAAAAGTATGAGGAAAAGTATGAGGAAAAGTATGAAGAAGAGGCTTTCAAGAATATAAATCTTCACTTATCCAGACAATCTCCAAGAATCAGACACGACTGAATGAAACAAAGAAAAATGTGCAAAACTTTACTCAAATGTAATTCCATTGTGCTCATCGAGATCTACTCTTGGATATGAAGACAGACGTTCGGCCTTAATGTTAATGTTTTAATTTTGACTAATTCTATCCTGATTCCAGTTATCTTCATTAAATTTGGTAGCATTAAATCTGGGCATGACTGAGTCATTTTTCGGGGGACTTATTCTAAATGTGGCTAGTGTAACTCTATCCTGATACTGATATACTGATGGGAAACTATAAGAATCCATTGTACTGTATGTAAAATGCTTAAAATCCATGTTAGTATTTTACAGTACTCTTGATAGAAGCTATGGCCACATTTTCTTTCTTTTTTAAAATAAATATATTTATAATAAATATATTTAGCATGTTTTATCAATAGGAATAAAATACAGAACAGAAAAAACATCCATTCAACAGAAACAACAACAAAATGTGTACATAAAAGGAAAAAAAGGAAAAAAAATCACCCAAACATGTAACATTAAACATATATTTTTTAAAAATCCATCCTTGCTGGATGCTCAAAAGAAAAGAAAAAACCCTGATAAATTTTCCTCCCCTTACATAACAGTTTTGTAAATAGTTATAAACTTTCTCATCCTTATTTAGCAAGAAAAATATATAAACAAATATTTCAGATTAGGAGGTCTCTATCTAATAATCGAATTGGCCCAACATCTAATATATGTTAAAAAAAAATTCTTTGTTTAAAGCAGTCAAGATGCTATGGTCGAATTTTCTGAGGACGCAAATGCAGGGATGAAATTTATGGAGGCCCCTATTTCTAATGTCTTCTGTGCTTTTTTTTCCTTCACTCATTTTCCAGGGCAGACTCAGCCTGATATCAAGTCATCTTCAGGATGTAAATAAATGGCTGGCATGAATCACTTCCCCTTGTTTTGCTTTGAGGAACAGTGAAACTTTCATCAAAAACTTAAAAGCTTAAGTAATTTTTTAAATTTTATATTTAGAGAATAAAAACAGTATTTGTTTTTCTTTTTACAGACAAAGTTAATCCAAGGATAAAACTTCTTTTATGTTGGTGGATTGAAATGAGAGTTGCGAGATGAAGCAGTACTGTAAATAATTATCAATACAGGCAGTTCTTGACTTATGAGCACAACTGGGACCAAAATTTCTGTTGTAAGCAAGGTGGTGGTTAAGTAAATCATGCCCAGTTTTATTACTTTTTTTGCTACAGTTGTAAAGTGAATCACTGCAGTTGTTCATGAATCATAAGGTCATTAAGCAAATAGCAATAGCACTTAGCAATAGCACATACCGTATACTGCTTCACAGTGCTTTACAGCCCTCTCTAAGCGGTTTACAAAGTCAGCCTATTGCCCCCAACAATCTGAGTCCTCATTTTACCACCCCAGAAGGATGGAAGGCTGAGTCAACCTTGAGCCTGCTTAGATTTGAACTGCCAAATTGTAGGCAGGCAGCCGGCAGGCAGCAGAAGTAGCCTGCAGTACAGCATTCTAACCACTGCGCCACGACAGCTCTTAATCCTGTTTCCTCCATCGATCTTGCTTGTCGGAAGCTAGCTGGGAAGGTAACAAATGGAGATCAGGTGACCCCAGGACACTCCGACTGTCGTAAATATATGCTGGTTGCCAAGCAACCAATTTTTGATCACATGACTGTGGAGATGCTGTAATGGTTGTAAGTGCAAGGACTAATTGTAAGTAACTTTTTTCAGTGCTGTTGTAACTTTGAACAGTGAATAAATGAACTGTTATAAGTCAAGGACCAACTGTATGGATGAACGGATGTGTGTTTTTTATCTCAAGTATAAAAAGCAGTCAATTCCTTGAACACTGAGTAGCTCAAAATATTTATTATTTTTTTTAAAAACTGGTCTCTTATAATCTGCACAACTTCCACATACAGTATACTTCTAAATCCTTCTAAATATTTAATTAAGTGAGGAAGGTTTAAAAATAAATGCCACATTAACTTCAGTAAGGCATAAACGCAAGCTTCTTAACAGCAGAATTGTTTCACTTTTCACCAAGCATTTTGTTGAACAGATTTTAGTATTCTATGAGCGAAGTGGCAATCATATAAGTGCCCACTTAAAGCTTTCTTTTCATCATTTCAGTCTTTTAGAATACTGCAGTGAGTGATACACTAAAGATAATATCATTGCTGAGATTGCATTTTAAACATCTCATTGACAGTTCTATGTTTAAACAGTTGGCTAGAGTCTGGGAAATTTACATTAACGCTGGAAATGAATACACCTTCTTAAGTTGTCTTTAAATTATTGTATCTGAGCATTACTAACACATAAAAGCAAGCAATTAAATAAAAATGTAAAGCACAAAATGGATTTGCCATGCCCATATATCTATATAAACAGAATAGAAAAGGGTACACACATCTTAGAGAGATAATTGCCTGTGCTAAAAAGGTACTTCTATACCAAAGACAATTTGCCTGAAAGATTTCACTAAAATCTCTAGAATTTCCTTCCAAATGCCTGTGATTAAGACTGCAACTTTCCAAATCTACTGCGGTAAATGAAGAATTTGCTAAGAAAATAGTATCTGCAAATGCACCCATTGTAATTTTGTGGGATGACTGCTTTTTCTAAGTCTGTGTGGGAGCTGATTGATGGAGGGGGGGGTGTTTTCTGTCACTTAAATTGGGGTTCAGTGTAGCGGCCTGCTTCAAAATCATCCCCACAATCCCCATCAACCTGGCAAATAGAAATGGTTGAATATTATGCAAAAGCTTGGATACAGCTGGACTGCTTACAACTCTCTGAATAATGAGAATAATACCTAATGCAGGGGTGTCAAACTCGATTTCGTTGAGGGCCACATCAAGGTTGTATTTGACCTTGGGGGGGGGCTAGATGTGTGTGGCTGGGGATGGTCATGGTCATAGTGGATATGGCCATGGTGGGCGTGGCTATGGTGGGCATTTTGGCGGGCCAGATTTTGACACCCCTGACCTAATCAATAAATTTGGAATTATTTATGGAATGAGACTTCTATTCATTTTCAGGTAAGTTTGCCTCCCATTGCCTGAAATGGAACGGAAACTGCCATCTTTTTCAAACGGGCAAAGCTGGCAATATTTTCTTGTAGTGCTTTCTTGGAGAGATTTTTCCATATTTGGAAACTGGAATGCTTAGTTCAAGTGCAGTTCATGAAAAATAATTTGAAGATAAAGATGCTTGATCTATGAATTATTTGGAAAACTTTTTGAAATATCTTTTTCCACTTCCAAATAAATTCAGACTTAAAATACAAAGTGCCTATAGATTCCATTTGATATTGATTGGCTCCAATTAATTTCCTAAGGTCTTGTATTTGTGATCATGTCATTCAGCTTTTAAGGCAGAGTCCATGGGTGGAATACAAAGGATATAAAGGGATCATTTATCCTGACCTTGTGGTTCAGGCTCTAAATTGCAAATAATCTTCACTGATGTTTGTTGCCTGTAAAGTTTTTTCCTCTTTTCTGCAATATTCTGTCTTTCTATAAGAGAGGAGTTCTATAAGGTGCAGACTTAATTGGTACAATTGAGGTTTTACCTTAGGATTTCACAATTGGAATTATGGTAAGTTTTGCAAGTCAGTATCTACTCCCTCCATTTTGCCTCTAGAATTTCCATTAGGGCCTAAAGAAGGGCAGAAGACTCCAGCAGTTCTTCATCTGATAATTTTCAGGTATGTTTCTCTAGTCTGATATTATAGGAATGATCCTTTAAAGTACAGTTCACCTATGTTTTCCTTTTTATACCACTGCTTCTTCCAGCCTCAATCCTAGAGTCTACCAAATTATCTGAGCTCTGTTATTCCACTTTGGTCCACCTGAGGAATCTTCTAAATGAGGGTAAACTTGTTCGTTGTAAATTGGAAGACCCGTGGGCCGGATTCGGCCTGTGGAGTGCTTAGATCTGGCCCATGGGGATGCCCTGGAAACAGTGAAGGACCAGCCTGCGGTGCCTCTGCCAGCGAAAACAGAGCTTGGGGAAGCCTGCAGAGGGCTGCAGGAGGCCATCATGGCCGAAAATGGAGCCCGGGCAGGCCATCTGCAGCCACCCCGAGCTCAGGTTTTGCTGGCAGAGAGCTGTAGGAGGCCATCGTGGCTGAAAACAGAACCTCGACGAGTGATGTCAAGCTGGCCACACCCAACCTCTCCCCCCCGAGGTCAAACACAATCCTGATGCGGCCCTCAATGAAATTGAGTTTCGCACCCCTGATCTACAAGGTACCTGAAGGAAGGTATCAAGGGATTGAACAAGTGGAACAGTCTTTCATAATTATCTGTTACATGATACTCACCTAACCATTCGTTGAATTTTTTAACTTCGCTAGGAAGTCCCAATTCAGTGAAATCACCAGCATGAATTAGAACATCTCCATATGGCATTTGAATTGGGTCTGTTCTGGAGTGAGTATCAGACACACAAACAAAACGGGTGTACCCTGGAGGTCTGGGAGCATCGTGTGGAACAGGATCTACCCTACGTATAAAGTTTGAGAGACAAATATAGATGCTTTATGTTATATTCATGTGTCGAGTTGATAGCCGCAATAAAAAGTATGTTTTTAGAGTATCTGAAAAACAAGTTAAATACTCAGCTTAGCCACACATATTTAAAATCCAAGAGTTTTCACCAATGCTTAGACAATATAGCTATGGTATAACTATGTTTAAACTTTTCCTAATTAAATACACTTTCTGAGTTAGGTTTTACACCTAATGGAATATATTTGCAGATTGCCTTTAACTATTTTAAATTTAAAAACAGTTTAACCCATTGTGGCTTATGAGCAAAACGAGTTTTTGAGGCAACATTTTGCAATATTGTGTTGTGCTTTTCATTAATACCGCATTGCGCACCAATGAAATCTCAGTACATGTTTAACTTGAAACTTAAAACAAATAGTTTTTGATATATACGTAAGATGTAACTAACTAGGAATTATACATTTTAAGTTACTGTACAGAATAAATTAGAATACTTTTCCTTAGACATTTTCATGTTTCCTTGATAGAACAAAAACTGACAGTTTCATGATTCAGTGTAGAAGTGTGTGTGTGTGTGTGTGTGTGTGTTTGTGTGTGTGTGTGTGTGTGTGTGTGTTGTAAAAGCAAAGATCAGCTTGTAGGGTAGAGGCTGGAGTTTTGAAACCACACCCAGAAACCTCCTGGGACTACATACTTCATACTTCAGCTCCATAATTCTCTACTGTCCTTCTGGCAAATAAAAGAGCAAAATTGACAAACTTTCTCCAGCTACGTCCCAAACCAGCAGGTTAAAGCTGAGGAGTTCAGAACTTTCTTTTTCTTTTGGAGATAAATCAATCTCACAAGAGATAAATAAAATCAAACATTTTTCTTAAAAAAACCAAACTTCATGTAGGATACATGAAAGCTAATTTACAAAAATACAATATTTTCTGAAGACTAAAAAATGGTACAGGTCTGCTAGAATTTGAGAGGTAGGGTACAATCTCTGCTTCCAAATTAAATTTCATCTTCCAAATAAAGAAAAAAATAAATCTTTTGGAAAACAGCCTGAAATTACCTAAAATGTTCTACAAGTACAAATAGCAACAGAGAATAAGGTTTCTAACCAATACACAGCAAAATAAATTAATTCAGATTCCTGGCTAAAACATTTTCCTATTTCTCAATCCTTGAGATTCAGTGGCAAATAAACTTTGATAATGGGGAATAAGAAACGTGGATACAAATCCATGGTTCAGTTTCAATTTCTAGTAGGCAAATAATGTCTTTGTCGGGTTGATTATTACAGTTTGCATGTCTTATTTTATACTGTATACGTGATTTCTGGGGGGAAGGAAAGGAACATTATTTAGTTGAAGTTAATCAGGACTGTCTTCTTGATGAAAGAAAAAAATGCTGTTCATGTTTATTTCTTGGAAAATATTTAATCTTATATTTTAATACTGAATTTAGTTGTTACAGTTTAATATTTTTTCTTTCCCTTCTGTCTCTCAACTTTTAAAATAGTTTTCATTTTGAAGCTATGGTGCGTATTGTTACATCAAAAGTAAATCATCTTCAAGAGCAATTACCTTTAGAGACATTTTCATCTACCAAAAAATAAAAAAATAAAACTTATTTTAATTACATCTAACTATCCTGTTATTCACATTGGGTCTGAATTAAAATAAGCACTTTCACATGAATGCTCACATTACTTCATTAGCTCGGCCATTCTTTTGTTAGCGTGCAGATCTCTGAATCTATAGCCAAATAATAAAACATTTTGTTGTAAAACAGATATCACATTAAAAAACAGAGAAAATTGTTGGCAGAAAAAGACCCAGTGGTCATCCAGTCTGCTCTTTGAGTTCTTGCTTGTTTGTTTTCTTTTTAGTCGATTTCCTTTTAATAATTTTTATTTTTTTAATTTTTGTCAGACGATAGACACGTGTTTTTCCCAAGCATGTTTAAACTCAGTGATTGATGATTGAAGTTGGTTCCAAGCTTTCACTACGCTTTCTGTGAAATAATACTTCCTAACTACTTCTGAACTATCCTCCTGTCAATCTGAGGTCATGCCCCTGGAGTTTTTAATTTTTGCTCAATACTGAATATCCTGCCTTCTAGCGCCTTATTCACACCCCTAATATATTTAAAGGTTTCAGTAATTCCCCCCTTTCCCTTCTGTCCAGTATGGTTACCAAGTAGGGTTAGCAAATGTTGCTGCAATTTTACGTGTACTTCTAACTCCTGTAACTGCCTGTTGCTACTTTATGACATGCATATATGTGTACCCACAGAGCTATCCTTTGCTTTTATTAATAGAAATATTTATTTCACCTAGGAATTATTCTCAAGGGTTATGGAGTGGTGATCGTGACATATCATAATGACACACATTGGTGGGATTCACTAGTAACAAACAATGCAGTGAGCACGCACAGGGCTTTTCAAAATAGCAAGAAAACTAACCTTTTTACTGAAGCCCTGGTGAGTAAAAACAGCTGAGGCATGGGAATCTGTGCTGCCACGCCGATCAGCTGGGCTTCAAACAAAGGAAGCATAGGACAGAATAGAGCAGGGGCAGGGCCAAATGTTTGCCGGAACTACCGGTTTGTGTGAACCTGTCTGTACCGGCTGAATCCCACCTCTGATGACACAGCTATAACCATTCAATAATCCGTGATGTAGCATCAGCTGAATGGTAGGACTTACATTTGTACATGTGGAGGTTGGAAACGTCCCTGGTTAATGTTGTAGAAGGTGAAGGCCTGGGTTGGATTGGAGCTGTACTCATCTACTTCAATTATGAGTCGACTGTGTTGGTGCCTTCTAGCCGTCATGATGTGTGATTGGGCAAATGCCATGCTTGCTCTCTGTAGCAATCCTCCTTTTTCACAAAATCATCTCTCCATATTGGCTGAAAACATTCCCCTGGTTTCTCTCTAGCTTAATCATATAACTTCCCCTCATGGATTCTGAAAATGTAAAAATCAGACGGAAAACAATGATTCTGGATACAAGGGTTTGATCATTCATTTGGGATACATCTTATTTATTTACTGTCACAAATTTATGAGAGGAAGATAAAAGGCTAATAGCTGAAGTATCTCCCAACAAATACCTCCAGTTCAGCAAGTTGATGAATATTATTTAGATATAAGGAACAAAACAAACCTGTCAAAGAAGACATGCTAAAACAGGTTCCAATCAGGGGTGGGATTCTACCAGTTCGTACCTGTTCACTAGAACCGGTTGTTAACATTCTAAGCAGTTCGGAGAACCAGTTGTTAGAAGAAATTACTGGCCTAATCCTGTAAGGAAGGTAGGAAGGAAATATTCTGGTGTTGCCTGCAGAAACTGCCTCTCTGTTAACCCTTATTACATTCTTGGCAGGACTAGATTTCCTGTCTCAGGAATGTCTCTGGAGTTTTTTTTCCCTCCTTTGCTGGTACTTTGCTTGTGTGGAGTGACCATTCAAAGTTACAGTGGCACTGAAAAAAGTGACTTATGACCATTTTTCACACTTACGACTGTTGCGGCATCCCCACAGTCATGAGAGGCCAGGCGAGGAGATGCGTGTCTCGATGTGAGTGATATTGATTGGCCACACCCAGCCAATAACATGACCACCAAGCCATGTCCACCCAGTCACATGACCACCAAGCCATGCCCACCACCTAAGCCATGCCCACAGAACCGGTTGTTAAAAATTTGAATCCCACCCCTGGTTCCAATCCTTAGGAGACTTAATCACAGATCTATAGGGCATTACTCCTAGAAAACGTATGTCAACTTTCAATGTTTTGCAAACACAAATCATTTTATTTTCCTCTACCCTTCATGTATTAGTAAATGTTTACATTATTGTTCCAACTGTTTATATGACTATGTATGAAAAGTTTGTAAGTGTTCTAAAAGATCTGTATTATGTCTTTCTTTCGGTATTTTAATGATCATGATAAATCCATGAATTATCTGAAATGGCTAGAACCATTACAAATGTTAGCCAAATTCAGATAATAAAGTATCACAAGTATACTTCCCTCTCATGATTTTTCCTAAAAATTAATAAATTAATATATTATTCAACATATTATTTCAATCACCCAATGTCACTTAAATGATGCATATCCATATTTCATTTTGTTGAAATGATACTGATTTTTGTAAGTGATTCTATAGCCCACCAATCAGCTCACCGTTATTTTAGCTCTCTAAAAAAACAACACAATTGCACATTCTCCAGCAATCTTTGTCTCTCAGGCAAGCCATCCATTTGTATATTTCACAGATTCTTTTATTACTTTATTTATCAAACTTTAAACCTTGAGAGATTTTCAATGAAATAGTGTAAATTCTGTGAACATATAGGATGATGGTGATTTTATCTCATTGCTTTTTAAGAATTCCTCCATAATTCCCAGTTTTGAATGTTTTAAGCTGAATTTTAACTGTATTTCCACATTTGCCAGAATTTCTTAAACAGACTGAGATCCAGGGTGAGGGGACACTCAATTCTTCAGTTATTTATAACAACTTTCATTTGGGATATAAGCTTTTCAGTGGAAAAAAGTTACTTTTCATATTATTTTCTAGGCTCAGAGTATCTCATTTCTAGGGCAAACCAAATTGTGTGTGCTTAGAAGTACTCTATTTAATGAGACTTACTTGCATGTAAATGCAGATAAGTTACCAACCTAATTTTGTGCATTTTTACGAAAGCTGAGAACTTACAGTGTTTAAACTCTGGAGTCTTTTTGCAGCCCATGTTCATCTTGATGAAACTACAGCTTCTGAAAGACACCAAACCACGGGGTGAGGGTGAGGGGATTGTTTATTTATTAGCAGCAAATAATTTATTAACAACAAGTAGCATACATTTACATTCCTCCTAAATAGAAGTAGCTTGGCACAGGAAACTCACATTTAATTCTCTCAGTTCGTCTGTTTTGAAATAAGGGAATGCTGAAGGCAGAATATATTCATAGTTCAACTGGTTTTTAAAAGATAAGGGAAACATTTGAGTCAAGCTTGGGAGGATAGGAACGATTGATGGGAGGTTTCTATCCTCCCATCTCATCACCATCCAGTCACAATTCATGAAGCTTTTTGGATAAAAAGCAAAATGATCTTTTTCTTCCTCAAAAAACTCAGTTGTATTTTGGAGCAAAAAAAAGAAAACACCTTTGAGATTGTACCAAGTGATGGTCTTCTAGTTGTTTTCATCTTTTATCCTTACTGTGAGTTCAGGGGTAGGTGACAATATCCTTTTACATGCTACCTTTTTTTAATTATAAGAACGTTTCTTCTTTCTTAAGTTTACAAATAGCTGATCCTCACTTGTTCTCTTATCATTTTTCTTCAGAAGAAGTAAAAAAAAAAATCCTTTGAGCTTTAGCAATCTGGTAATATTTTTTCAAAGTGAGTCCAATACCATAATTTGGCAAATATTAGTTTAATAGAACAAGGCAGGATTTTAAATGCCTTTCCATTTCACCTGATATTGGAGGGAGAAAATTAGGTCAGTTAGCAAATGGATGGACTGAGGTGTTACTGAGTTCCTTTTATTCATTGGGAGACTAGTATATACCAGCAGCCATTTAGCCATTACAATCTTTACAGCAGAAATAATCTCACAGAAGTTATTTGACCCCAAGTGTGCTCCTATAACAAGTTAAATCCAAGAGAAATCACTAACCAAGGTTTTAAAGAGTTATTTCACTCTGCAGGAAATAAATCTGGAATGGATCCCTTTGCAGCAAGATCCCGTATTGGTTGACTTAATTATTGCCTCAGATCTAGGGATTCTAATGTTGATTCATCTCAACATAGAAGATCCAGTTCCAGACGGGCATAAGCCAAATTTTTGTTACTCCTAGGGCTAAATAGGGCTATTACTGAAATGGAAACCCATGTTAGACTTAGAATAATTTTATTGTCACTTTGAATGTACACTAATCGGCCATACATTAAAATGAAATTTCATTGCATACTATAGCTTGCAAAGGGTCACCACCTCCAATATACACTACATAAACATGACAAAATAAATAAATTCCAGGCAAGATATGAGAAGAAGATGTTAGAGAACTTTGTCAGACTGTTAGAGATTTGAATTCTTTATCCCAATCAAAATCCAATGGACTTATCTGCTTAAGCCAACTTTTGTCTCACCTGCTTTAATATTCCACTTGGCAGTATCAAAGTCAAACCAAATATTTATTATAGCATTGAGTAGTTCAAAATAAAAGATAACTAGCAAACAGAGTATTGGAATAACACATGGTGGCAAGACCCCTAAAATGCTTAGGACTTTGGCACAGTACAAAAATTGGACATATGAAGAATAACAGCAGGAACTATATCTGCCAGTTAGAAAAATACTAAATATATCGCATCTATATCTCAGCTATAAATTAAAAAACGGAGCAATCTGAGTAATACCAATATCCTTAGCCAATTTCAATCGCCCTTGAGCCAAAAGTGCTGATTTGGCCTCAGTTAGTTTGCTGGTTTATTTATCCAATTAATTTATTATTGCAATCTACCAGGTGGTTAGCAATTTAAAAAATCCAATAAGGGAATAAAACATCCATAGCAAGAAAAATAAAGCAAATTAAAATACCCACCATAAAAGTAACAAAATAATAAGCAGAGCAGTAAAACAAGATAGCATAATCTCAGATGTTCCCAAAGGTCTCATAGGAAGCTCTGCCTTAAATAACTCCTAAATGATAAAAGGGAAAGGGGTAGCTACTCCATAAAGAGCCTCATGACTGAAAAGCTGGAATAGAGAGGGTTCACCTTTGATCTAGATCAGTTTCTGGAAATCACTAGAAGAGATAGAATATTTGTATTCCAATTTAAGAGTCCCAATTTATTATAATGATTTTAGTTGAAGTTTTTTATTAAACCACGGTGTTCTTCATTCCATGATTATTCTGAATTCCTTTTTTAATAACTTGATTTTTCTGTATAATTCAATCTATCAAAATAAATTCTTACTGCTAAATTTTATAGTGTTACTCACATAGTCATGAGAAATATAGACATTTAAAGACCTTATGGAATATTTCTATTCAAAGTGATATTTCTACATTTTCAGAGACCAGTAAGGGGGTTACACCATTAATAAATGGTTATCAAATATCCCTGTATTTTACCTTCCTAATATAATTTTTCAACATTCTTTGTTAAATTTTCAACTTCAGCAATTTTCCATATTTTTAAATACCACTGGTCCCATTAAATATAGACTTGGTTTTCCAGCATTTTTCAATAATAACAAGCTAACAAAAATACTGAATTCATCTCTTATACTGCATTAATGAATCTACCAACAACAATTTCCTTACATTTCTATCAATGCAAGCTAGAAATATCAAAATGTACATGGTATAAATGTCTTATTTACGTGTAATTATATGTGTAATTAATGTGTAATCTTTACAATTAATGCATGAAGCCTTTCATTCTCTTTAATCTGAACAACAGCAGTAGAATAAATATATGGTAAAGTTATTTTTTTTCTAACTAAGTTCTTGTCTTTTTATACCCAGATATACAGAACACATACATATTATATACATGGAGCTAATGGACTGTATCAATAATAGTGAGCCAAGTTTTTAAGGCTTAACATTTTTTAAAATTATCCCAACTAGCCAGAAATATGTTGCCATGCTTGATACACAAAAAAGTCACTGCATGGATGTTCGAGAATTTCCACATTGAAGACTATGGGTGAATTTATATTTTACCAGGAGAGGAAGCCATATGCTCCATCCCATATTTGGGTAGACCAGGTTGCCCTGATAGACCGGTTTCACCGGAAAAACACTTAATTGAAGGCTATGAAATCTGA